GGGGGGGGAGGAGGGAGAGAAACACAAAAACAAGTAGTGCTGGCTTTTTATGAGTCATAAAACTTACAAGATTTTACCATACATCAGGGGTTCCCAAACGGTGGTACTCACAGACCCAGGGGTACATGTGACATCTCTGGGGAGTACATGGTAGAAACAATATAATGGCAGGTTTTACTTATTTATTATTTTTAGGACTGCCAAGCAATTAAAAATTGAGATTAATTGTGCTGTTAAGCAGTTTGAAAATACCATTTATTTAAATATTTTGGAGGTTTTCTACATCTTCATAAATATTGATTTCAATTACAATGCAGAATACCAAGTGTTCAATGCTAACTTCACATTTGTGTTTCATTACAAACATTTGCACTGTAAAAAAGAAACTTCAGTTCACCTCATTGAAATACTGTAGTGCAATCTCTTTATCACGAAAGCAGAACGTACAGCCTCAGCTGGGGGAGATGTGGAGTTTAGTTGCAGCCCCAGCTACAGGTGGTATGGGGTGGGGTGAGGGAGGTCAGCCCCAACCCCAGCTGCAGGCAGCACAGGGCTGGTAGGTAATATTCCCTCTAATCTTTTCCATCCATGTGCATAATAATTTGTTTACTTGCACTGAGGCATGTGCCAATGTGAATCACCAGTAGGGGAAAAAAAACCCCTAGCTGTAGGCACTCTGCTAATGAGCTGGGCAGCTTTTGAATCTCTCCTGAACACCTGCACAAGCACACAGCTTACAGGGAACAGTGATGGTAGGCGGGGAAGACTTTGCAATGGATAGTGTGGAATTCAGGGAGAAAGGCTTAGCGCCCCCAAATGCAAGCAGCACAGGGCTCAGGAGTGCAGTCAGCACCCCAGCCTGGGACTGGGGGGGTGAGGGGGAGACATGGGGGGCGGGAGAGGGAGTCATCCCTAGCTGGCACAGGGCTGGGGCAGGAAGTGGGAAGTTCAGAGGGGAAGACTCAGCTTCAACCTATGCTACGTGCCAGGAGACATAGGAAGGGCACTTGGGAGAGGGTGGATGGCTCTGGCAACCTCCCCCCCCCCAGCTGTTTTACTTTAAGAAATATGGTCACTTGGGGTTGGGGGTGGGGGTATCAAGATGTCTTCTTTTTCACTGGAGCCAGGATTGGGACTATTTCATTTTCTAGCCTCTTCTTTTCTACCTTCCCTCCAGTAACAGCTTGCCTTACTGTGCCTGATCAGGCTCTGGTGCAGTAGATGCTGTGCTCCTGCCCAGAGGGGTTGCAATTAACATGTGTTATAATATTAACAAACAAATTAGGCTGTGCATTAATCACGTATTACCAACAGTTAGCTGGCAGCCCCAATTATTTTACTACCTTTTCATAACAGACTACCAGATGAAGCTATAAAAGCTCTGGGGTTTTGTTCCCCTGCAGCCACTGTAGAGCACAGATTCAGTTGCCCAGCAACTCTCCAGTCTAACTTAGCTCAGTACTGAGAGGGTTGTTTTTAACTGTGTGTGTCACACTACATCTGTATGTAATAGTGAAGAGATGGCAGGTATTTTCATGAACACACAAAGTATCAGTGATGAGATGGACACAGATACTCGGGCAGCTGTTAGATCTGGAAGAGGGTATCCAATAAGACAATTGTGGGAAGCTCTGCCCTACTAGAACTGAACTGAACCATGATCTGTTTCATTATCTTTAAAGTCTGAGTATTTTTACAGTAAAAATTCTTAGCTAATTTTGCTTATTCATAGAATCATAGAATACTAGGACCGGAAAGAACCTTGAGAGGTCATCGAGTCCAGTCCCCTGCCCTCATGGCAGGACCCAGTACTGTCTAGACCATCCCTGAAAGACATTTATCTAACGTACTCTTAAATATCTCCAGAGATGGGGATTCCCCAACCTCCCTGGGCAATTTATTCCAGTGTTTGACTACCCTGACAGTTACAAACTTTTTTCTAATGTCTAACCTAAACCTTCCTTGCTGTAATTTAAGCCCATTGCTGCTTGTTCTATCCTTAGAGGCCAAGATGAACAAATTTTCTCCCTCCTACTTATGACACCCTTTTAGATACCTGAAAACTGCTATCATGTCCTCCCTTCAGTCTCCTCTTTTCTAAACTAAACAAACCCAATTCTTTTAGCCTTCCTTTATTGTATTATCAGTGCACGCATTACAAAAACTATGAACTTACATGAGTAGGGGGTAACAAAAGTCTCACTTTTAGCACCTTCTCATTATAGGGAGATAGACTCACTTCACAGGGATATATTGCTCTGATATATATATGGGAAGAATCTCCAATTGACATTTAGAAGAGTTCGTAACATATTTAAAGCACCTAAAAAAGCATAACTTGACTTAAGACATGGATCCTGTGATGGGTGTGGTCACAGAAGACCCTTTGGGATTGTTCCCTGCTGTGCTGATCATGCTATTGACACTCATTTTCTTGCACTCTGAGGTTCCCAACTACCCCGTCCTGCTGGGCCAGATTCTGTGGTCTCCCCCAGGTAAGGCACAGAGCTGGAAGTAACTTTCCCCTAAAAGAGCAATGCAGACACTGAACCACTTCAGCTCTGGGAGGATGCAATTCTAGGGCACAGTACCCCGGAAACCGACCCCCAAAGGGATTACAACCCCAAATAAATCTGACTCTGTGTGTAAAAGTTTTACACACTGAAGCCATGTCTACACTACGCAGAAGATGGACGCTGCCATGCTCGATCTCCCAGGGTTTGATTTAGGGTGTCTAGGGAAGACCCACTAAATTGAACTACGAGGGCACCACCGTCAACACCGGTATTCCTGCTCATCATGAGGAGTAGGAGAAGCTAACGAGAGCATTTGCTCCCATCCACCTCCTGTTGTGTGGACGGCGTGGAAACTTAATTTAAGATACGTCGACTTCAGCTACGTAATTAACATAGTTGGAGTTGCATATCTTAATTTGATTGTCCACTGTAATGTAAACTAGACCTAAAAGCTTATCAGGTAAGCCTCTTTTATTAATGAAAGAGAGATATGCATATTGATTGTGTCTCCCATCCCCAGTTAACAATTATTTACTCTGGGCTTAATAAAAACACTTTTGTTTACTATCAAGTACAAATAGTAGGATTTTTAAGTGTTGTAAGTGGAAACAGACAGATCAAAGTAAGGGTATGTCTACACTTGCACCCTCTTTCAATAGAGGGATGCAAATGAAGACATTTGAAATTGCAAATGAAGCCGGGATTTGAATATCCCATGCTTCATTTGCATAATCGCGTTATGGCGCTATTTTGAAATAGCGCTATTTCAAAATACAATACGCGGTATAGATGCGGTTATTTTGGGAGAACACCCATCTTCCAAAATAACCCTTATTCCTCATAAAATGAGGTTTAACGGTTATTTCAGAAGAAGGGCGTTCTCCTGAAATAACTGCATCTACACCGAGTCTTGTATTTCGAAATAGCACCATAATGCAATTATGCAAACAAAGCGTGGGATATTTAAATCCCGGCTTCATTTACAATTTCGAATGTCTTCATTTGCATCCCTCTATTGAAAGAAGGTGCAAGTGTAGACATACCCTAAGTTACTAAGTTACTAAAATGAAAAGTAAACGCAGCTAGTTCTACTACACTAAAAAACACACTGCATGCAGATTCTTACCCTAAAGAGCTGTTCTTATTTCAGGCAAGTCTTCAAGTCAAAGATGATGTTTTACTCTAACTTGGGCCTAGAGTTCTCTCTGTTTTCAAGTCAGTCGAAGACAAAGACCTGATAACTTTTCCTTACTACAGAGGTGGGGCTTTTCCTTATCACAGATCCAGCCCCCGAGGCTTGGGTCTCCCTTCCAACATTGGGGAACCTGTGTTGGGGCTTAAGCCTCCCCTCCCTCCCCAACTGTCTGGAGCACACAACCTAATAGCCTGGGCCCCTTAGACTCTGGTATGCGAAGGGAATGTGGGGAGGGTCTTTCTCCTTCTCAGTCAGGAGCCATACGAGTGAGGATTTGGTTAGTTTTTTTTTTTTTTGTTTCTCACTTGTGTGCCGCCCCTGACTGATTTTTCAGTGGGTCAACAGCCCCCGAGATTCAAAAAGGATTCCCCACCTCTGCCTTAGGTGGGGATAGACTTTCCCGTTAGGTGGGAATCTTTTGTTCTCCATTCCCCCATCTCTGGAAAATTACCTGATCAAAATGGAATTCTAGTACCAGGTGGTATGGTAACAGGACTTACTAGTTGAATTACCTTTGCACTTGTAGGAAAACAAGGCTGTTTACAAGTCATTAAGTTGATTACCCTGTCTTTAAGACTTCTAGAGCACCAATAATGGCTCTCATTAGCACATTTTAAATTATAAACACTGTTATAATTCATTTCTCTAACTTCTCATACAAGAATGATACATGGACGCATTGGAGAGGGTCCAGCGGAGGGCAACCAAAATGATTAGGGGGCTGGATCATATGACCTATGAGGAGAGGCTGAGGGAGTTGGGTCTGTTTAGTCTGGAGAAGCGAAGAGTGAGGGGATTTGATAGCAGCCTTCAACTTCCTGAAGGGAGGTTCCAAAGAGGATGGAGAGAGGCTGTTCTCAGTAGTGACAGATGGCAGAACAAGGAGCAATGGTCTCAAGTTGTGGTGGGAGAGGCCCAGGTTGGATATTAGGAAAAACTATTTCACTAGGATGGTGGTGAAGCACTGGAATGGGTTACCTAGAGAAGTAGTGGAGTCTCCATCCCTACAGGTGTTTAAGTCCCGGCTTGACAAAGCCCTGGCCGGGTTGATTTAGATGGGATTGGTCCTGCCTAGAGCAGGGGGCTGGACTTGATGACCTTCTGAGGTCTCTTCCAGTTCTATGATAAGGGGATGGTTTGAGAACATGATCTTGGTAACTAATTGACCATTCATTATCAGTGGGAAATAGGTCAATGGAGGGATGACAGGAGTTACTATAGAGAACTTTCTGGGTGTCTGGCTGGTGAGTCTTGCCCACATGCTCAGGGTTTAGCTGATTGCCATATTTGGGGTCGGGAAGGAATTTTCCTCCAGGGTAGACTGGCAGAGACCCTGGAGGTTTTTCGCCTTCCTCTGTAGCATGGGGCACAGATCACAGCTGGAGGATTCTCTGCATCTTGGGGCCTTCAAAGTATTTGAAGGCTTCAATATCTGAGACATAGGTGAGAGGATTATTCTAAGAGGGGTGGGTGAGATTCTGTGGCCTGCATTGTGCAGGGGATCAGACTAGATGATCATAATGGTCCCTTCTGACCTTAAAGTCTATGAGTCTATGAGACCAAAATAGGGTACACATATCCAGCAGAGTGTAACATTAAAATAAAGGGAGTTACTCACCTTGTGCAGTAACGACTGTTCGAGGTGTGTGTCCCCATGGGTGCTCCACACCAGGTGTAGCCGCTCCATAGCTCTGGCACATCCCTACACCTGAAGTGAAGCACCTACAGGGACATCATCCGAAGAAGAATGATAGGTAACATTAGGTATTTTGTCCAAATAATCTCTGAGTAATGCATATTTATATTCATAAGTCGATTTCATAAAGGGAAGGGAAAACATCACAGATCTAACCATCTGTCTGCAATATAAAAGTATGCTATACCTACAAAAACTGTACACACAGCTAATCCATGGAAAAAAATACTTGCATTCTCTTATGTGATCTTCTTCCCTTCTCAGCACCCCAGTTGTTATTATTTTAAATTATGAACACAGAACATTTAGGGAACAATGTCCCTTACTAAATATCTGCAGAGCTCATTGCACAAAGGAGCTATATTGGTTTGGGGCCATAGGCTTTAACTAGAAGAAAACAATGAATTGTGTGCACAAATTAAGCACCCACATGACACACACTTTTTACAATTAGTCTCTATACATTGTTTCTGCTTACCAAACCTTTGTGTAGTAAATGTGAATTCAGGACCACTTGTACCTCCTTCATCTGTATATGCCTTCATCTTCACCATGTATAAAGTGTCACTAGATAAGGAGGAGAGGGTATAGTCTGTTTTGGAAGGGTCCACATTCACAGCTATAAGAGAAAGATCTATACAGTTATTTGGAACAACCTCTTAAATATACACGTTATTCTAAACCATACTACATATGTATGTATGGGAACAAAGCATCCAAGAAACAATTTAATGGGAAGTTACACACTTTCATAGCTGTAATATTGAAAATAGACACAAAGGGGGCACATGACCCTGTCTGTGACCACCAGGCAGGGGTGTGCGGTCCCAGCTGCAGCACTTGGCAGAAGCTGCGGGACTAGGACTTAGCGGAGGGAAGGGGTATTATTTGATAGCAGCCTTCAAGTTCTTGAAGGGAAGTTCCAAAGAGGATGGAGAGAGGCTGTTCTCAGTAATGATGAATGGCAGAACAAGGAGCAATGGTCTCAAGGTACAATGGGGGAGGTCTAGGTTGGATATTAGGAAAAATTATTTCACTAGGAGGGTGGTGAAGCACTAGAATGGGTTACCTAGGGTGGGGGTGGAATCTCCATCCCTAGAGGTTTTTAAGTTCTGGCTTCACAAATCCCTGGCTTGAATGATTTAGTCGGGATTGGTCCTGCTTTGGGTAGGGGGCAGAACTTGGAGATCTCCTGAGGTCTCTTTCGGCCGTAGGATTTTATGATTCTAACAGGGGAAACCACAGGGAGTGTACAGGTCCCACTCTGGAGCTGGCTGCACCTGCTGGACATGGGTGCACAGCCTGGCTTCAGTGGAGCGAGTACTATTGTTCCAAGGTTAATTATCCTTATTGTGATGCGTGCGCCTTATTTTCACTTTGAATTTGTCTAGTTTCCCCTTTTCTACCTTTTATCTGATGGATAGCATAGCTCTCTAATACCAGAGGTCTTCTCCATGTAGACAAGACAAGGATCAAGTCAGCTCTCAATCTTTTCTTTGGTAAGCTAAATAAATTGAGCTCCTTAAGTCTCATTGTATTACATGTTCTCAACCAAATATTTAGTGCTTTTATCAGGGACACTTCTGGTCTCAAATGTAACTAAGCTACAGGGGTTCAAATGCAGAGACAACTACTCTCTCTCTCTCAAAAACTTTAAAGATTCCTCTTTAAAAAAATCTCAACAAAATAAACACTTACAGTTTGATCTGATGAGACAGCTCCTAGATGCACATAATTCTCTATCTTGCTTTGTGCAGTAGTCAGTAACCCAATACTTCAGAAAATTAATATTCAAAGAAATAATAAAAAATAATAATAAAATTGATATTATCTGGCCTTTGTTACCTGTTTCATTTCCACCGATAGTTCTGTATAATATAGTGTAATATCTAATAAACCCATTTTGCTCATCCACTCTAAGAGGCTTCCATGTTAAAACTGCTTCAGCTTTTCCTACTTTTTTTGTCTGAACAGTGGGTCCTTTTGCAGGCACTATAAACAGACACAATAAAGAGTACATTATATTCAGTTAGGAACAGCAATATGTTAATGGACAACATATTGTAATGCTACAAAAACCATGCTCAAACATTTTAGTGGAATAATATTTTGAAGTTGTTATCTGCAAAGTCAGTTATTTCACTGCCTGAAAATACAAACATATTTATACAGCAAATTCCTTTAAAAATCTGACTTCTACATCAACTATATATTTTGAAGAGTTTGATTGTGGATTTGTTTGTGCAAAATAAAGTCATACCTTTGTGGTTACTGACAGATACCAAATTTTGAATAAATAATCCTGCCACTTAAGTTAGCTGAATTCTCTGCTTTTCACACCAGAATATGCTGGGAGAGAGGTTTAAATAATTATTTTTGTGTTTCATTGGAAAAAATCATGACTATTATGATTAGAGTTCATAAAAAATATTTGCTAACAAAATTAAAATCGAGCCAACTGTCATTTTAGTGCAAAGAACATTTTTACTGTTACAAATCACAAAATAATTCAAATTAGTTTTAGAAAGAGTAATGGAAGCTTTGCACATTTCTGATTCAAATTTACTATGTATGGTAATTATTCAATAAAATGAATAATGTTTAAAGTTGAAATCCTACAAATTTAAAACTTGTTTTTACTTCCCTTTTGCAAGCATATTAATAAAAAATGCCATTATATATACAGTAATTCCTCACTTAACATGTGCCTGCTTAACACGTTTTCATGATAGAATTTTTTTTTTTTTTTTTTAAGGGAACATTTTTCAAACAACACAACCCCGTTCCCACGACAACACAATTTCCCCTAGGGCTGGCCGGTGCCTGGCAGCAGCGCGAGGCTTCCCCTGCCTCCCTGCAAAGTGGCAGAGGTTTGCTGCTCGCAGCGCCGTTCCCCGGTGACCGCCTCTGGCCGGATGCAAGGCATCTGGCCAAAGGGGGTCACCAGGGAATGGCGCTGCGAGCAGCAAACCTCCGCCGCTTTGTAAGGAGGCAGGGGAAGCCTCATGCAGCTGCTGGCTGCTGGCCTGTCCTTCCCTTCCCTTATCCAGAGCCAAACACCTCCCCTCCCTGCTATAACTCAGTCCCTTTCTCCTTCAACCTTATGTCCCCGGTCCCAGCTGCTAACAAGTGCAGGCTGGAGCTGCGAGCTCATGTGCACTTGAAACGCAACCCTCCCCTTTTCCATTATTTTCAATGGGAAAATTGACTCCGCATAACACGTTTTCACTTAGCATGATCATTTTCTGAAACGTATCTACTATGTTAAATGAGGAATTACTGTATTTAATTTCTTGAACTTTCCTATAAATCTACACAAAATGACTTTGCCAAGTCAACAATGGGCCTCACGTGCTAGTGAAAAATAAAGCAACACATTTGGGACAAATTAGGATATTAGTAATCCCTTACTTTTATAAGAATTATGTTGCAGTATTACTTGGTAAATTTGAAACACAAACAAAAAAATCCAGAGAAAGTGAATTGGTAGAAAAAGTTTGTTCAACTGATGAACTCTAGAAGATTGGGGAAGTACCAGATGTTTGATAACAGCAAGTATAGTACTAATTTTAAAGCAAAACTGGCAACAACAACATAGTAAATGTATCTTTTATCCTTTGCAAAATAACACTATAGGCGGGGGGGGAAAGGGGGGGGGGAGAAGAGAAAAGACTTAACTTCTGAAATAACTGAAACACAAGCAGATTTTGCCAAAGAAATGTAGTACCTTTTTGTTATGGAATGGGTAAAAGCAAAATGGCTGATATTTCTATTTTAGTAATAAAACATATATGGACTGTCTCATGAAGTCTTTTAATCAATTTAGATTAGTGTGAATGAAGTACAATATCTTGTGTTTAACTATTTTAGCCATACTTCAGATACATCTAAGTTCCTTTGATGCCTAGAGGTGTGTTTCAAGTATCAAAAGGATCTGCTCAGGGAGATTTCATTTAAAAATAATCTTTAAAGATCTAAGAGCTGGTAATGCTTTAGTGAACTTTGAAGACTATTCCTATTATTTGCAATTAAAAGGAAACGGTAAAAAAGAGACCAAAAAGATCTACAGATTAAAATAGAGTAGAAAGTATTCACCCTGGACAAGTAAAAACTAATATTTGTGAGAATGTGATCCAAAAATCCATACATATTTAATAGAAGGGGAAAATATGGGAAGGTCATAGGTTTAACTAATAATAGACAAATGGCAGGACTGTTCACCACTCTGACATGCTGAGTGCAGAAGATGGGAGCCTGCAAAAGACCTTAAAAATACCTTGCCTCTATAGGCTTTTGCTTAAAAAGACTCCCCAAAGTCACAGATTCTTTGGCCCTGGGAAAGAGACTGTCACCATTCAAGTATAAAAACTCCTTCTGAAACCAAGGAAGAATCACAAACGTCTTCCAGAGGAGTAACCCCAAGAGGGATTGAAAAAAATAACATAACATCACTAAAACCAAAACCAAAAAAAACACACTGTAATTTCTGATAGCTGACCTCTTAGTCTAGGCAACCCTACACAGATCTCCTGAAATTGCCCAGGCCATAAGAAACAAATCATTACCTTAAAAAATGATTTTTATTAACAAAACAAAAAACACACACACACACACACACACACACACACACACACACACACACACACACACACACACACTCACTCACTCTTCCCCCCTATTACTCACAGTCCACTTCAAAGTCCAGCCCATTTCCATGCCCATTATTAAAACATCCTGCTTGCCCAATGCCAGTCTTAAACTTACACAAAAGAAAAATGGCCGGCAGATATATCTACAATTCAAATTTCAGCACTGTATCCCATTGGTTCTTCTGGCTCCCTGCCAACACCCCCAAGCTACCTGAGTTTAACTCTTTAGTCACCGAATGTTGACCAGCACTCTTATACATCACAACAACTTTGGACACAAATTAATCAATGCAATTCTGAGTTGTATATGCAGAGGTATGTCATGCAACAAGCACATGAAAGTCCCTCTTTGTACAGCTCTAGTGTGACTACCCAGCAAATACTGCTTCTCATACTGGACACCTTATTACTAGAAAGTTATCAATCTAGCAGAGGGAGCTTAGATTCAGAGCACCATAAATGACTAGGAACCTGAAGTGAACAATCTATAATAAATGAGATTATCTTGCCTACGGAATAATTATATGGGAATACAACATGAAGAATGGAAATGCTGAGGAAAAACTTTTAGGGCAACATGGAATGAAATTAGAAAAGGGAAAGTTTAAGCTGAATATCAGCAAACAGCTTGTGATATTCTGACAGGGGAGCTGCTTTCCCAAGGGAAGCACCACAGACATTTGAGAATTATAAACTGGAGAAAGCCATTACTATAAAAAGTGCACAACAGAGGAAACTCGTGCATATGCAGGAAGATAGGTGACCTGATCTAGTAGGTGTCTCTCCCATTTCTATGATTTTATCATGTTAGCCAAAAAGGTCAATTCAAATACTTTAAAATGTGCATTTTGTACTTACTGCTTTGTTGAAGATATGCCTTTGTAGACTGTCCATTTCCCTGCCCATTATTATATAATGGATGAACAGTTATCAAATAACACTTGAATGGCTTTATATTTCCTAATACAAGAAATTTAAGAAAAATATTTTAGTAAAGAAAGATTCTAGTTAAAATGTAAGATTTAGTTCCTTTCCTTCATTTAAAAACAGTTTATCAATGTACCTTACACTTACAAACTCAACTGAATTTCTAAACATTGCCAATAAATAGTCAAAGGAATACCTCAGCCCAAAATTTTAAAGTTAATGAGATAACAGTTCTGCAAACCTTATTAACAAAAGTATGTAATCATATTTCCTTGCAACTGTTGTCAACCCAAAGGCTGTGTCTACACTGGCATGAATTTCCGGAACTGCTTAAAATGGAATACTATTCCGTTTTCAGTTTTTCCGGAAAAGGAGCGTCTACATTGGCAGGCTGCTTTTCCGGAAAAGCCCTTTTTCCGGAAAAGCGTCTGTGGCCAATGTAGACGCGCTTTTCCGGAAAAGAGCCCCAATCGCCATTTTCGCGATCGGGGCTTTTTTCCGGAAAAGATTACTGGGCTGTCTACGCTGGCCCTTTTCCGGAACAGTGTTCCGGAATAAGGACTTATGCCTGAGCGGGAGCAGAATAGTATTTCCGGAATAGTGGCTGATTTTGTACAGTAGCGTCGTTGCTTTTCCGGAAATTCAAGGGCCAGTGTAGACAGCTCGCAGCTTATTCTGGAAAAGCGGCTGATTTTCCAGAATAAGTGGCCCAGTGTAGACACAGCCAAACTGTGCAGCATTGTACTACTGCTGAGAACCTAGAGGTGAAACTTGAAACCGAGCTACATGAATTGCCACACTAAAGCAAGAATAGACAGTGTACAAGTAAGTTTTAAAGTTCTTTCATGATTTAATATAAAATGGGTTTTTTGGGAAGTCTTAACCTGAATGGCATGCCCTTCAAAGCTACAGTTCTTGATTTATTTCAAAACCTAGGATTTATAGTTTTATTCTTAGGTGCCTACAATGTGTTTAAAACTATATTAAGTTTTCCAGCAGTTTTAACTGCCTGCAAAAGATCCATATGGCACTTAAGTCTTGCAGCAGAGTCCCACTAAGTATCAACCATTAGTGACAGCATGCTATTGACAATTCAGCACATTTTCTATTTCTGATTTTTTATCTCAATATTTTATAACAGTATGAATAAAGTGGATCTTGATGAAATGTATAAAGTGAGACTGTTGTAAGAGAGCCACTGAATAAATCCAAAATGAATTAAGTTCCTGAGAAACCTTATTGGCTATTCTTAAGTTCAATAATGAGCACAATATTTTTAGTATAATATTGTTTGTAAATATACCTTTTAAAAATGTGCCTTGAGAAGTTCCAAGTTCCTGCTGCCATTCTGTGGTGCAGTCTGAGCTGTCAGACACCACACACCATTCAATCACATATTTAACAACATTATTGTTAGGAACTTTCCACTCAACCCAAAGCTTGCCATCCTTTGGAAATGCCTTAAGATCTTTCACAGGAGCTGGAGAAGAAGAAAAAAGGAATGAGATTACATTAATACAGAACATCTTCACTAGATACCTCTCGCCTAGCATGAAGGTACCTGAAATTATGTAGAATCATAGTTTAAATTTACTTTTGATCAAGAATAACTATCAACATCTCCACATTCATAAAGTTTAGTGGGCATATACATCTACTGCTGAAGGAGGAATGAGTGCTAACTCTCAAGGGTAAGCAGGCTTTTTTCTGTTTGTTTTTTCTTTTTGCTCGCTTAAATCTTGCAGTATAGCCTGATGGGGATTATATATTTGGAGACTCCGGGAGTGGGAGTAAGAAGTCTACTAAGCTGTGAGCTGACTGTTCATTAGCAAGGCTCTAGTCTCCTTTGATCCTTTATTCACCCTGATCTCCCTTCTCTTGTGTGTTAATAAGAAAGTAGGATTAAGCATGTCTCTCATTGGTCTAAAGCCCAAGCTAAGCAACCCAGGGAAGCTAAGGGGGTGGGGGGGAGCGGTGTGTGCAAACAGGGAAGTTTGAAAAGAAAAAAAGAATGAAATCGTGATGGCTCAAAAAGGCCCACACTGTTAATACCAACACTGCTCCTAGCTCTTCCACTTGCACCTGTGACTAGATGGAGACTCCAACTATGGAGTCCTCTGCTGAGCTCCTGGTGTGGATCTGCATGGGCTGCAACTTGCATTTCCTGGTCTCTTCAGAGGCTGAGACCACCATCCAGCATAAGGTATGCTTACTAGTAAAATCTCTTAGGAGGCAGATAAGAGACCTACATGAGGTGGTGACCAAGCTGAGGAGCATGTGAGCACATGAAGAATTCATTGGAAGTATGCATATGGAGACCTTGATAAAGCTATCATCTGGAAGGCTGCAATAGCACCACCAAGAGAGAAAGAAATGCTCTTTCACAGGGAGGAACCTGGCTACTTCTAGCAGCAAGCAGTGCTCCACCCCCCTCCTAGCCCAACATCCATAGAGTGAAAAACTGGTATGCTGCCCTGGCAACAATGGAATTTCCCACAAAAGGTGGAGGAGAAGCTATGTACCCAGAAGGCTGAGAGGATCAGGGCCATCACTCCCCAGAGGAAATGAAAGGTGGTGCTATTGCAGTCTTCCAGATTATAGCTTTATCAAGGTCTCCATATGCATACTTCCAATGAATGTATGAGACCCTTTTTAAGGGGAATGGAAGCATTCATCAGCCATTTGACTGAGAATTCCAGCAGATATTCTGCTTTCCAGGGGCTCACATATGAAGCATTATGGAAGGATGGCAGAGTATCATATTACCCTGCACTACTCATCCAAGTGTGCACCAATGATACTGCAAGGTACAATCCCAAGCAGATAAAAAACAACTACCCTCTGGAAGTGAGGGTGAGGGAGCTGATTGGTACAAGTGGTGTTTTCATTGATCCTTCCAGTCAAGGTGAGGGGTTCCAGGCAAAGACATCCTGGAGCTGAATGTGTGGCTGTGCAGATGGGGTTGCCAGAAGAGCTTCAGCTTCCTCGACCCTGGGATGCTGTTCTGAGAAGAACTGCTAAGCAGAGATGGGGTTCACATACCAAGGAAAGGGAAGAGTATCTTCAGATAGAGACTGGCTAACGTAAGAAGGAAAATTCTGACCTAGGTTTGACAGGGACAGAAGACTAAAGCCCACAGATAATTCCAGGACATGGACACTTGAGGAAAGGGTCAGAATCTGGCAGTATCATGGGCAATCCACAGCAGGGACAAGGGAGACAAGAGAGAATATAGAGAGGAAATCTAATTAACATCTTAGACGTCTGTATACTACTGCCAGTAGTATAGGCAGGGCTTGACAAACTATAGAATCTACTCGCCCGTGGTGAGTAGATTTCAGCCACGTGCCCCGTTTACTGGCGGCGCGCACATGCGCAATGCGGCTCTTGCACATACGCAGCGCGGGGCTGGCGAGCGGCTTTTGCCATCATTTGTCAAGCCCTGAGTATAGGGAATCACTAGTGAATGATCACGATTATGACATGATGTCACAGATTTGGTAGGTCAATTTACATGACTTGAATATTAGTATAAAAGGGTACAGCTTTTTCAGGAAGGACCACAGGTGAACATAGAGGAGTGTACTCTGGGGTGCAGCTCTGGTAAGAAAAGGGCCAGCATGTTCAGCACATAGGGGAAGATCAGCTGTCTGTAGCCAACCAGACTCCAAGTGCTGCAGCCAGTCAGCTCTTTGGTGTTAAGATCCTTACCTGTCTGCTTGGAATTCAGCTGTATTCATAGCATGTGATTGCTGCATTTACCAGCCTGACTTGGAATGTAGGCGGTGAACCATTTTCTAGGGAGAGGGAGCTAGGCTGGGGACAGAGCCAGTTTCTTAACAGGCTGCAGGTGCTGGAGGAGACAGCTTGGGCAGGTCAGCAGCTTCTTGGCTGACTGCAGTGGGCGGAGGCCGGGAGGGGGGAGGGAAGGCAGCCAGGTGAGAAGCTAAGCAGATTCAGTGTCTGGCTCCCGTCTTCAGCATGAAGACTGCAAAATCCAAACTTTCCTCTACCCTGAGATCATGGGCAGCAGGTTAGTATAATTTCTGGTGGTGTCTGATTAGCCACGCCCCCTGACAACTCTCCCCTCATTACCTCCAGACGCGTGGCTAACAAGCTCGGGGCAAGATGGACACATGACCAGAAGTAAAAGGTGTCATGTCACCCCTCTTGAAGGGCTTTTCCCACCATCCTCCTTCCAACAGGGATTAGTTTGGCCCCCACCAACCCTCCCCAGCATGCAGCTATCCTGCAGTTGCATTAACCCAATGTGTGTGACATTAACTCAGGGGCAGAGAGTTGGGGGAAGTGTTCCCTCTAAGATTATGTCTATGTCTACACTCGCGGCTTCTTGCGCAAGTACAGCCGTTCTTGTGCAAGAATCCACAGAGCAGCCACACTGCTCTTGAGCAAGGAAATTTACAGTACAGCGTGCATGGTAAGATAGGGCATCTTGAGCAAGAGCTACGCTCTTTTCTAACACGTGTAAGCTCTCGTGTGCAAGAGGGCAGTGTGGATGCTCGGCAGGGATTTCTTGCGCAAGAAACCCCTATGGCTAAAATGGCCATTGGAGCTTTCTTGGGCAAGAGCGTCCACACTGCCATGGATGCTCTTGTGCAAAAGCACAGCTCACACATGGCAGCGTGGACGTGTTTTTGCGCAAGACTTCTTGCACAAGAACCCTTGCGCAAGAAACCGCAAGCGTAGACATAGCCTAAGAGTTTTCTCCCACGAGCAGAATGAATTTTGTGTTGTGCACCTGTACTGAGTTCATGTGGCTTGTTTGGATGTGCCACTGTGGCACCCAAGTTATTAATAAATCTCTCATAAATCTCTACCTTTTCCCTCTGCTGCCATGTCTCCTCCCCTTGCTCCATCAGCTCCTATGGTGCCTGCTTCCCCCCAACCCCTCACCCTCCTCTGCTGTCCTGACTCCTGCCCTTCTCACTGCCCTCAGCCCTCCTGAGACATGCCCCCCTACATCAGCCCTTCTCTCCACCCTGTGCCCCCTCTTCCAGTAGCCCCACTCTGATCATGCAAGCTACCCCTCCTCATCCCCTCTCCTAACACCTCGCTCTACACACCTGCCCTGCCTCTCTCCTCTGGTGCTGGTCCCTCTCCTGCAGGTGTCTGCCCTTCTGCTTCACCCCCAAAATCCCCTGGCATCTGCACCCCCCCGGTGCCTCCCCTTCCTTCACTGCCCCTGCCCCCTTTGACCCTGATGCCCACCCTCTGCCCCCATTCCCCTCATGCCCCTGTGCCCTCACATATGACTTGCTCCATCCCCACCTTCCTCATGCCCACTCCTTCTTTCAAACCTTCTTCCGGCACCTCCCCCTTCCTCTCTAGCTCCCAATGCCCTTCCCCTCTCCTCTCTCAGCATCACCCTGTCCCCCCTTCCACTGACACCTCCCCTCCTGCCCTTTTCCTCATTGCCTCCACTTGGCCCCCTGGCATTTGTCTCTCCTGTACCCTGCCCCTTGGTGCCTTCCCCTTTCTTCTCCTGACCTGTGCCCCTCCCCTCAGCACAAGCCCCTTCCTCTCCCACCCCTTCTTCCTATTTTTCCCTCTCCTCCCCACCTTCTGCCTTCCAGTTTGTGGGGCAGCGGGGCTGGAGTCTGCGATCAGGCCCTGCCGCCTCGCTGTCTGTCGAGGGGACATAGGCCACTCTGGAATCCGCTGCCTGTTTCTTCTGGGTCTGCGGAGTCTGAGCATCCGCCCCGCGGGGTTGCCTTCTGGGTTCCTGCTGCAGCAGGAGGGTGGACACTTCCCTGAGCTGA